AACTTGTGGAATATACTGGAGCATTAGTTTATATGGATCTAGCTACATTTATATAGTTTTTGCATTAATTCATTCCTGTCTTCAAAGAGAAAAAAGTTACCTGGTGAAGTTCTAGTGCAAATAACCTCGTTTATATATTTTATGAAATGGGAGAAAGAAATTCTGAGTTGTATGTAGTTTGACAGAAGTCTGAAAGTTGCTAATAAGTCATAGAAATGCTGTGTACTTGGGCATGCCTTGCTGAGGGTAGGATGCGTCTGTTGGATGCCAGAAGGTCCTTTTGACAGTTCTATGAGGAATGCCAAGGAGATGGGCAGGCAGTGATTCACCTGGAAATAGTCATCATCATTTACCCCTCCAAACCTTCTCAAATAACTCAGTTGAACAACAGATGCCAGAAATTATTGGAAAGCCAATAACATAAATAATTTAGATGTTTCTAAGAAGCCCTAATTTCTAGATAAGTTTCTACCTCCTGTAGGATACTGTGCAAGGTGTTGTGTGAATGTTCATCTGTGATGAATAATGTGCATATTAAAAGACAGCAAATATTCACTCCATTCAAACTTCAGGAACTTATTTCACATTGGTGAAATAGACATTGCAACAGAATATGTATATAGAAGTAACCTTAAGCTGTGATTTCTAGGTTTTTTGTTATTATAAGGGGGTGTTTTTTAGTTGCAATACTGTTGTATCAATTCCTTTAAACAAATTTATCAGTAAGTTTAAAACTGTTTATATTTCATCATTTTCTTTTCTTTCTAGACCATTTATTGCGGAAAAACTCTGGGGAATGGAAAACATACATGCATATTCACATTTTTTGATATTATGCAAATAATGTCAAGTATAGAAATGCTTGTGGATCTCTTGTGATCACACTCTATGAAAAAATGAGAGTGTTGCTTGCAGATTCCCCAGTTTCACATAATTCTTTCTACGGCTTTGAACTAAAATATTTTTCATGAAAATGTATTTTATACAAAGAAAAACGTAAGATACTCTTTGCATTTTTTTACATAGTTTCAGCACAGACGTATGAGGACTACTCTCTTCTTTCTTCCCATGCTGCATCCTCCGAAAGAGGCACAAGCGCTCGGGAGAAGAGCCACGGGTGAGCTAGATACAAAAGGGTTCCTGGCAACCTCCAGCTTCCCTGGTCCGAGCTCCCACGCAGACAGCCCGACAGTGCCCAGTCAGTACCATGGCTCCTGTTTTCCTCCACCCACATGAGCAGCACTTTATGAAAAAGTGCAGTTACAGAATCGTAAAATCATTTTAGAGATGATACCACTGTGCTGCTACTACAGGAAGTTTTGTTTTCGAAGTGTCTTTTTTTAAGAGTCTTCTGAGAAATGATCTTAGTGTCATTTGTGTATTTGTCTCTTAGTAGCATCAGTGAGAAGAGTTTGGGGGTTTGTGCTCTTCTGCTGGTTAATGCAGAAGTACGGGCGCATCCATAAAATTGGCAAAAATAAAGGTAAGCTTGTGTTTTTGTCTGGCCAGTGATTAAGCATGTACTTTTATTTAAATAGTGGGCTTTCCTGATTTTTAATTATTTTTTTGAGGGCAATCAGTCACCCGGTGATAGGCAAAGCTCTTAAATAGGGACTAATATTCCCATACTGTTTAGGGGAAAAGCAATTGGAGCAAATTTACATTACAGTTTCAGAGTGAAGTGAATATTCGTGTACGTTTGGCTGCTCCATTCACTGCTGTGTTCCTTCGCCATAGTTGGTGACTTACTTATAAAGCATCACCTGCTGTACTTTGGGGTAAAAGAGACAGCTAATTTGGTTGATAAACCGTTGGTATTGTTGGAGGCCTGGAAAGCAACATGAGGAAATAGACTCCTTCAGATATAATCATCCCTAGAATGGAAAATAGAGTACAGAATGCAAACAATGAAGCAGAGCCTTTGAGGGGAAAAAAGAAAAAAATCTGCTCTCCAGGCTGGAGAGGGTTTGCTATGCTTCCCACTGTGGCCCTGGCCGTGCTGAAAGGGGCTGCTTTTCCCATTGGAAAGCATTTCAGTCTGAGTTTTTCTCTCAGAGCTTTCACCTCTATTTCTAGATGAGATAAATTATTTGCATATCCTCAAGAATACTGGTTTGGGTTTTGGGGTTTTTTTTAAGAACAGCATATCATTATGGACTCTTGGATTTCCAAATCCGTGACAGGAAAAATTCCATGTGAATTACCATTTGCCATTTTTCAGTATAATTTGGCAACGTTAACATTTTATGAGTTAATACCTTGCAACAGCATTGGAAAAATAAGAAAAATAATGACTGGAAGTAAATAATCTTAGACTTTCTCTCTATTTGTCGGTTCTCGTGCAACACTGTTGATTTCTTAGTATATCTATGTATACACACACATTGTTTTTCAGCATGATACTGCTATAAACTATACATGGTGATTAAACACACTTTTTACTTTTTCCCAGCAATACTGGTCTTTTCAACCTGTTCAAAAATTGCATTTTCTGTGATGTCTCATGTTCCATGGAGTAGGTTGAACTGTTTCAAGGAGACAAAAAATAAACTTGAATGGCATCAGTCTGAGGCAGCTCGCTATGTGCACAGCAAAGAGTGCTATCAGCTTCCCCTGTGTGCTAAAAAAATGAACAGATTAACTCCAGGAGGATCTATAATGTCCAGGTCCATTCGCTTCTGTCGATCAGGGCTTGTAATGAGCAGCGCTCTGTGTGCATCCATTCCCATTTATTAAAAGGCTTTTTTCTGGAATATCTACCTACACTCTTCTATTTGCTCATTTAATTAGGTAGACTCTGACTGATGTGAATCAGAGTAGAAGCTATTTCAATGTTAAAAGATTAGCGACGTGGCAATATCTATTAACAATTGCAAAAATGAATGCAGGACTAATTAGTATTTCTTTTTCTGAAATGTATAAACACAATGGCAATGGTATGTTATACAAAAATATATTTTTATTTGTTTTGTTGTCAGTGGCAGGTGGTATAGAAGGTGCTTCTATAATAAACTTCCACTGACTTTTGCAAGGGCTTAGTCAAGCCCAAACAAATTCTAACTTTCTCTTAAAAAAGCTCTTTATAAATGCTGATAGTTTGGGAATGTATCTGACAGGTAGTGTGTACTTTACCCTACATAATTCTCTCCCTGATTTTTATTGTTGTTGTTTGAGGTAATGAACAGCTTTCCTTTTCCCTTTATTGAAAATAGGGGAATCTTTCATGTAGTAGGATTTAGCAAGATAAGGTGTGACATGGGGGATCGCTGGCAGGCAATCCCACTCTGGGGTTATCCGTCGTCATGATAGTTTCTGGAAACAACTGAAACGGGCACATAGGAAAAGTTATAAAAATTCAGTGAATTCTGATGTCGGAAGTGATAAATTTAAGAACGAGAATCACAGTTAGATTTGGCTTCTTGGAGCTTTGAAGATGGAGAGATTGGACTCTTTGTGGCTGTTCACCTTCAGAGAGGAAGTCAGCTCATTTAGTTTGCTCTTGCATTTTGAGGGAAGATTTTGGGTTTTCTTCCACTTCTAGATTTGTTGCAATGTTCTATCGTACATTTTTTCCCATGTAGTTTATGATGCTACCTTTTTTGTAGAGGCAACTTTGATTTCAGGTTGTTCTTATGTTTTCTTGAAAGCCAGCTCTACTTGTTTATGAGCATATTTAGATATGTTCATTAAGATGAGAATCAGATTAAGGCACGTGCCGTTACGTCAGTTTATAGGGCTTCAAATCTTGGAAGTTAGACTATGGTTGTGATTTAAAAAAAAAAAAAAAAAAAAAAAAAATTATGCCACACAAAACTAGATGAGATTTCTTTCATACGTAACTGTTTAAGAAGGTTGCAGAGTTCGAATTATTTGTTATTGTGCACTTTGAGACAAAATGGTCTAATATGTGTCACTAAGGGATTTTAAGAAAGCTTTTAAAATTAGTTTGCACCTGTAAACAAACAGACAGATATAGTTACAAATGTCAAGAACGTTTGCTCTGTTCTCACCAGCCTGTATTTTTGTGCAGCACATGCTTGTGATCTCTGTGCACCAAAATTCTTGGGTGCTGTGCTGCAAGTGCAAACTGACGGCCGTCTGTCCTGCACGGCCGTGTTTGGAGAGACCCGGCTTACTCAGAGGGGTGAAAGCTAATAAATCAGAAGTGTTACATTGGCTACTGGGAGTAAATTTGTCACTTTTTCATTTACATGAGACTGTGCAGAAGGAGTGATATTTAACAGTTCTTTTATCTTTGCTCAGTATTTTCTTTGGAAGCTTTTTTTCCAAGTGTGGAAAAAAAAAAAGATAATTAAACTGGTGGTACAGATGAAAAGAACTGGGATATATGTCAGAAAAAAGGCAATGGCAGTTGAAACTGATAGGTGACGTGTTCTGAATGATAACATTTAGCTAAGAGACTCTAAGACAAAATATATAGTACCATTAAGTCAGTGTCAATGTTTTATATGAAGTTGCATTAGCAGGTTATTTTCAGGTCCACCTTCCTGCATGCTTTTGCTCTTAGCATTATGTACAAACCATGTGGTTTAAAGCATTGTATATTTACATTTAGTTGAACTTGATGTTTCCTGGTAGGATAAAAAAACCCAAATAAACAAAAACCAGATTCTTGCTATAAAGCCAGTCTCTGCTAGTGTATGACTAGAAATTGGAAGGCTGTTCTGAACTGAAGTGTACAGCGATGTAACAGCATTCCAACTTTTTAAAGTAATTTGTTATTCTTAAGAAAATATAAACAACTGGCTTATATGGTTTGTAAGCAGTGAGAAATCAATTCAAATATTACAAATCATAAACCATCCTTTTCACAGATGGCCATTTTGCATTGTTCAGAGGCAGTGCTGTGATCTACTGTTTTGCCTGTTTGAGGTGGGAGCGAGGAGCTAAATGTCTGAGATGCAAATAAAACTCTATATGTATAAAAGTGGATTATTTTAGTATAAGTACAGGCATGAAACCCATGTTTTTGTTTTCAGATTTAACAAATCAAGTAGAGACAATTGGACTGAAGCTGCAGAAAGTAACAGCTGAGACGGACCACTACAAAAAGCTGTTAATGTAAGATTTCCATTTGCTTGATTGTTTTGCCACTGCGCATAGAGCTGTAACAGACCACTTTTTTTCAGAGCACGCCGCTTGTCATGATTTGAGAAGGTTATGACCAACAGAGAAAATATTTTATCGTCATATTAAACAGTCTGTATTTCTAACCAGCTGACTGAGCATGTCTGTGTGTGGAAGCAGGGCTTTCTTCCCCCAGCTGAGTTTAAGGCTAGAGCAAAGAGGGGGGCTAAGTCAGCTCAGTCGGATGCTTCATTTAACACACAAGTGTAGGATACATTTTGTGAAATCCACATAACTTCTGGACTAAAAATGTTTGTGGAAAGTAGATTTCACATTGTAGGTTTGGAGTGGAGGGAAGGGTGCAATAAAACTAATCAGAAACTTTAGTATTTAGTCAGTGACTATGATTTCGTTTTTTATTCACCCCCTGCAATGTAAATTTGCTGTGACTTTTCCCATGCACCAGTATGCTTTTGCGGTTTGTAATTTTTCTGTGTTGTGCCTGTGGTTTCAAGTAAGAGTATGCAAAACCTAAATTAATAGAGAAAAAACCAGAATGTCATCATATACTTGTCAGAGCTAACTGCAGCACTATGACTGAAAAGAGAGCACTCGCATGGAGTAAAAAATTCAGCTTGCTCCGTCTCCAGCCCACCCGCAGGGAGCAGTGCCTGCCCCTGCAGACTAAGGGGACAGCAGAAAGGAGTCCTCTATCAAAACTGGAGGAGATAAGAAAAAAGATGCACCTCTTCTTAAATGTTGTTGTGCTGTTGCACACTGTTGCCCTGGGTTACTATTTAAATGGCCAAGCCAGGGCCGTGCAGCGGAGCTGCCACGTTCCCCGCGCCCCGAGGGTGCCCTCCATTGACTTTTGTGGGAGCTGTGTCGGGCACCCAAAATCCAGGGTCCCATCCAGACACAGCGGTGCTCAATGGAACCTGTGTTGTCACCTCTAAAATCTGGGATCTGAATGCTTTCCTGTATTTAAAATCCTCATTGCTTGCATATAGCATAGAAAATCATTCCGGAACAGCAGCACTTCATAATTCACTTTATAACACTTTATAATTCACTACTGAAAATAAAAATTACTGTTTCAAATATTAAGCTCAAAAGCAATGAACTAGTACTGAAAATCTCGAGACCAGCTATCATTGGTCTTTTTCTGTGTTTCCTGAAATTTAACCAAGGATTCATCCTTCTATGATGTGTACTTTCTGGTTTCGGTTCCTATATTCAGAGGGTCTGATCATAACAAGGTTGTAAATATTTGGAATGCTTAGCAACAAAGTGTTTTAATGACAATACAAGTATTGAGTATGAAAAAAAGATTTTAGGAACACAGTTAAATAAACATTAAATGGTTTCCAAATGTAATATTAAAATTTCAATGTAGTATGGGTAAAATTTAATAAAATAACATATTCTATATCTGTTTAAATGTAAATATGAAGCTTAACCATGGTTATTAATTGATGAAATGATGACATAATGACAAAAACCTGCAAAGTTTCCAGCCCTCTTACCTACTAAATTGTTTTGTTCATTTTTATTCATATCTTACTTGAAACTTTCATCAGTGTTGCAAGATCTCATTTTCTTGTTTGCAACATTAAACTTGTGATCCTGGGTTAGTCTGAGATTACATTGGAAGTGTAATTTCCAATTATTTAAAAATGTTAGCTAGAACAGAAAGAACGTTTTGTTTGTTGTCCGCCTTTTAACTGAAATAGAAAAAGAAAGTTAGGTAATACATCAATAAATGACGTTTGGGTTACTGCATGAGTAAAGGCTATCATTTCTTTGGACAATACACTTTTTTTATTGTTTTCTTAGGGTGAAATCAGCGGAACTTGATGTCTGTCAGAATGAACTGAAAAAAATGAAATACGAAAATGGAATTTCTGAATCAAGGTAAATGCTGAAGTTATGTTTCGTAACACAAATTTCTGAGCAGTGAGAGCAAAAATTTTGTGATTTTAATGCAGTTTTTATACAATCATTTTTTTCTATTTTTGTGTTCAAGTTGCTAGATTTAACTTCATAAAGGATACACAAGTTTTTGTATAATACTTTATCTTTCAGGTGCAAATGATTTCCATCTATTTAGTTTCTGTCTGTAAATAAGAATATAGTAACTACGATGCTGATACTTTTTTATTTCACCTGTAGACTTATGAAAGAGCTCAAGGAAAAGGAGGAATCTCTTCTAATTTGCCAACAAGTATGCAAACATTTACAGGAAGAAGTGGCTGAGAAAGAAAGGAAAGAAGAAGATCTAAAAAGAAGAACCGGTCGATCAGAAAGTGAGCTGGAAGCACTTAAAGCTCTTCTTAGACAAACAGAGGAAGAGGTGGTGATGTTGAAACAAGAAAGGTAATTGGAGCTGAGTCACCACGGGTAACCTCCTGTGACTGTACGTTCAGCCTAGATTGTCTTTTTGGAAATCTATTAAAAATAAAACATTCCTCCTCTGCCAGATCCTCAACCCCTCTCACTGTTACCAAAAGGACAGATAGATTCTGTAAAGCACCAGAGATGGCTTCTGCCAGTCGGGAGGTGAGGCAGCAGAATGAGGAGTGTGGCTATGGGCACTGGGCAGACTGGGAGAGACCTGCTGGTCCCAACTCCGTGTTCTGGAGTCGCTGCCTTGCCTGTGTGCTCAGGACAGTCCTGCCCTGCCACTGCCCTCTCTCATCTCCTGCTTTTAGGGCAAAACTCTAAAAGCCTTGGCAACCCTGAGCTCATATCCTGAAATATTGGAATTAATTAGATTTTTTAAAATTATTGCAATATAGACAAAACTTGAATGACAAAGAAAAGAAAATCCTATTTAAAAAAAAAAAAAAAGCAGGGGGGAAAGCCCTGTTTTGCAGTCCAGCGCTTCAGCTCAAGCTTAATCTAAACACCCATTTACTGCAGTTGTTATAGCTGCTATTTGTATTGTGAGGTTTGTAGAGCAAAAGCCCTGGAGAGTTTAAATTCTTGTAACTTATGTTATTAGCAACTTTCAAACCAATAATGCTGTAAATATTACAATATGCCAGGTTATTGGATACAGTCTAGTATTTGCTGAAGTGTATGGACAACTTCCTGCCAGTGTAGTCTTATTTTGAAGGTTCTCAGATATCAATGAAGTTGCCGTTTTCCCTGTAATTACTTTTCAGATGTGGAAAATAGAACACTGAGCTTCTGAGGATTGTCTTTCCTGGAATGGTATCTAGTTTGAGTGCCTTTGTTTCAGACTTGAGTACTTATCACCCTAAATCCACACTTTTTAAAATTGCTTGGAGTGTAATCTACATACCCTGTATTATTCCTAAGAATCACAGGTTTGTTTTATTATTTAAGTGTCCTGCTAATAAATTTGCAGTTACTGATAAATTAGCTTGTCATTTACTAGCAAAATAGAAAGTGCTGTCCCCTACCTAAGACATGGCAGTATGTTATTTTTTTGAGTTGTGTACAATGGAAAATGTATTCATAAAAGTGGCTTTTTGGAGAAGATAAGCATTTTCTGAGAGTGATGTACACCAAGAGGCATTAAGCTATTTTCATATTAAAGGATTTGAATATTCCCTGTACTTTAGTACCTGCATGAAAAGATACTACATGTTAATTTAATAATATTTCCCTTCTACTTAAACCCCAGATACATGAGTTGTTCCAGTCGGTACCTTGCTAATAATCTAAGTTACAAGAATTTAAACTCTCCAGGGCTTTTGCTATACAAGCTTCATATAACAAACAGTAACTCTAACAATAGAAAGCACTTGGTGGTTTTAATTCAAAACCTATTACAATTTTTTAATTAATGATAGTAATATTCTGAGCTCATTAAATACAACAATTTCTGTTTTGAATATTATAACAGTTTTTCAGTGTTCTTAAAAACTTAAGAAATATTAAAAATATTTGAGGTTTAAATATGTGTGTGTGGAAGAAAGATCAACTACAGTATTTTCTTTAAAACATAAAATTCATAAAGCATGTGATGGCATTATGCAAATGCTAAGTAGTGATTACTGCTGTGCCTCTGGGCTCCAGGCAGGATTCCTGGGCTTATTGCACAGAATACTAAACAAAGAGGAAAAGATGAGCCTTTGCCACAAAGGACTTAATTGCAAGAAAATGGCATACCACCAATCTGGGCAGAGCACATATTTACATACGAGTTTTTGTGGTTTCTAGGGAGTTAATGCTGATTTCTCATCAGAACAGAACAGAGCAGCTGCAGGAAACATTAAGACAGAAGATGCGGAATGAAGATAACTGGAGGGAGAAGGTAATACTGGATGTGCAGTTGGCACCCTTTCGGTTTCTTTTTTTTTTTTTTTTTTTTTTTTTGTAGTCAGCTGTCACGAGTGAGTACAGTAAGCCAGATACCTGTCTCCTCAAGTGCAAACATGTCAATAGTGTTCTTTGCACAAGAGGTTTTAATGGGTGATCTCTCTACATAGGTTGGAACTGAAAGCAAAAGGTGTTTAGCATGAGTGTTTACAGACTTGGCAGCTGTTCAGGTCTGATCCAGACTTCCCAGGTTTCAGGGTATTTGCAAAGCGCCTATGTTAGGAGTGCAGTCCCTTGGAAGCCTGGGTATGAGGAGCAAGACTGAGCCTGTTCCTCAGAACCTCTGTTCTTCCAAGCGCCGTGCTTTCCCTGTGTGCTCTGCAGCAGGAAAAGCCCAGTCTCACCAGCTGTTGTCCTATGTGAGCTCCAAGGAGGTGAATGTACAGAGCCTACCTTGTTCTGTGTGCAACTGTCCAGGTTATAAACCCTGAACCACAATTCTGCATGGGGAAGTGCATCAGTGCCTGGATTTGTTTCCCTACGCGTCTCGCAGAGAAGCATAGGAAAGCATATATTTAATATTGAAGTAGTTTCCCAGTAAAAACAAGGTTGGGCATTGTTGCCACGCGAGAGAGAGAACGCAGAGCCTTCCTGCTTGTAGGTTAGGTGAACTGAAACTGAAGATTGCTATTTGTAAAACAAATCTATAAAATAAATAATAAACAGATGAGCAAAAATGTCCTTTTCTTAGAAGACAGGTATTTGCAAACCAAAGCAGAGCTAAACAAAAAAGCTGTTTTAGCATAGTGATTCTGGAGCTTTCTGGAGTTGTCGAATAGCAAAAGGCAGCAGAGCTGTTAGCCGTACAGCTGACAAGGAAGGCGAGAGGCCTGTGGATACCCTGCCTGGTACTTACGGCAGCTACGAACACAGGATACATGTTCGTGCCATCCCTGGGATGATTCTGTCACTCATGGCAATAGGCAAGTAAGAAGTAACATGATAGTTTTATCCTTTCCAAGTCCTCTGTGAACATGAAATTTGTTGTTATTTTGATATGAGCCCATAGTTCCCACTGGTGTCAGGACAAGTCCCCACATGTATGGAGAGTAAAACGACACTCCCAAATTAGCAGTGTCACCTAGCTCAAGACCTGAAGTACCTGGAGCAAGCGTTGCTTTCAACCTGGGGGCACAGGGAAGCTTGTGCAACCTGGGGTTCGGGGTGCGTGTGCCCCTCCAAGCAGCCTCCCCGCCGAGTGCTCGAGAGTCACCTGGTTGTGCCTGACGTGGCAGGCTGTGCGTGCCCACCGACTGAGCGAACAGCTCAGTGTGAGATGGGTATTAGCTTGGTGAGCGTGTGGCTAATTACAGCATGGGAACCTCAGCAGAAGTTAGGTAGTGCTGGCTGTCAGCTGCAGCTGGGGGCTAGGAGAGGGGGCTAAGGAGCACTGTGGGTAGGTGGAGGAGTGTGGTTAGACTGGGGAATTGGGAAGGGAGACATGGTAGCAGAAAGAAGGCATGTGGCTCGTCCATTTACTTGAGCTGGGGGTCCTCACAATAAAAAAGAGCTAAAGAGTTGCGCAGTGAAAGTCCCGGAGCTAGGACGGACCTCTTGGGTGCGAACGGCTTCTGCTCTTTCTGCTGACCTCTAGCATCACCAGGTCCTTTCAGGCAGTCACATCTCTGCCAAATAGGCTCCTGCTAATGACTCTGCTGGTTTTTTTACTTGCCCTCCCTTCAAATCAGAGCAGTATGGAGATAAAGACGTCAGTGAAATTTACTGTGAAAATACCTCTGTATTTCATTTGAAAAGACTTGACGCTCCTACAACTTGGCTTCTCCTTTGTTATTTTATTCATTGACTCTTATAAAAGTCTCTAAAGCCACTTTCATGTGCCACCTGGGGTCTTTTGGTAATTGGATGATGGTTCCTTTCACAGTGAGGGGGAAGGGGAAGGTGGGAGGGAGAATGATACACCTTCCATACATGCACGCTCCTTTATAAATGCCCATTTTTCCTTTACTTAATTTCTTTTTTCCTTCACTCCATTAAATAAAGGCTACAGATGAGAAGGATGGTTAAAGTACAGCAGGAGGACACCCTGAATTTAGGGGGTAACTGGCTTGGTTGGGGAACAGAGAGTGGGAAAGAGATTAGGTCTAGTCCTGGACCATGGATGTAGGATGCACCCTTATGAAAATAGCTCAGATGCAGGGCAGCACACCCAGCTGCGCACCCGCCCTCAAAGCACCTCGCCACAGCCGAGCCGGTGCTGTATGCGTTGCACAGGTCTGTTCCACAAGCATAAACTCCTGTCAACATGTGTTTTCTTGTTAGAAGGGTTTCCCGCCGCTAGTCATATCTTGAACTGGTATTATTGCATTCTACAATGTTAGGTTATAATTTGTTAGTCGTCTGTTAGTATGTACTTGGGTTTGGGGTCTTCTGTGGAAAAATATTTTCAGCTGATTTAAAAAATACATGTGTATGCCCGCTCTATGTGCTAATTGGATGGGTTTCTTAGCTAATTGTGCAGCTGGTTGGAATGGGGCAATGCTACAGCCCCTTGTTTATGGGCTTTGAGCAGCCTCACTGCGTAACAGCGATCTCAGGAATCAGGACCTTTGGTTCTGCTCTGCATGACAGATCGCTTTTTCTTGGAGTTTTGGGTCATAGAATCATGAAATTGTTTAGGTTGGAAAAGACCTTTAGGATCATTGAGTCCAACCGTTAACCTGACACTGCCAAGCACACCATTAAACCATGTCCCTAAAAGTCACATTACATGTCTTTTAAATCCCTCCAGGGATGGTGACTCCACAGCTTCCTTGGGCAGCCTTTTCCAGTGCCTGACAGCCCTTTTGGTGAAGAAATTTTTCCTGACGTCCAATCTAAACCTCCCTTGGTGCAACTTGAGGCTGTTTCCTTTCATCCTATCACTAGTTACTTGATAGAAGAGACCAGCACCCACCTCGCTACACCCTCCTTTCAGGTAGTTGTAGAGAGCGATAAGGTCTCCCCTCAGCCTCCTTTTCTCCAGACTAAACAGCCCCAGTTCCCTCAGCCGCTCCTCATAAGACTTCTTGTTCTCTAGACCCTTCACCAGCTTGGTTGCCCTTCTCTGGACATGCTCCAGCACCTCCATGTCTTTCTTGTCGTGAGGGGCCCAAAACTGAACACAGGACTCGAGGTGCAGCCTTGCCAGTGCCGAGTACAGGGGAACGATCCCTTCCCTGCTCCTGCTGGCCACAGGATTTCTGACACAAGCCAGGATGCTAATGGCCTTTGTGGCCACCTGGGCACACTGCTGGCTTGTGTTCAGCAGGCTGTCGACCAGCACCCCCGGGTCCTTTTCCGCCGGGCAGTTTTCCAGCCGCTGTAAAGTTCTGAGCTGGAGACTCCGACTGGGATTGGAGTCCAGCTGCCAGTGTCTTCCAGTGGGATTTGGAAAGCTGTTTACCATAAACAGCTGTGAGCGTGTAAACTTTGTTTTAATCTGCAACTTTTTCACATGAACACCAAAAAAACCCTCAAACTGAATATAAGAAATTACAACAACAAAAATCTGTGAAGGAAAAATTGAAAATAGTGTTGAACAATAACTCTGACTTTTCTGATTTAAGCCTTACATAATTGCTGACTAAAATGACTGTCTGTCTTCTCTGGTTCAGTACGTGATAAGTGTCTGAAAGCTTTATTTAGTCTCAGGAAAAATTTTGGGCTACTAGCAATTAAGATCAGTTACATTTCTTTTAAAACTTCTTAATGTCTCTGTCACAGGATATAATTTTAGAACGAGGTCACACTGTCTACATAATCACAATGTATTGTTCAACCTGACATTAAAGCGAGATAAAGACTGCTACTAATAAGAGAGAGCAATTACAGTTTTGGTATCACAACCATTAAAATGCAGTGAACGGCAAGTGCTCTAAAAATGTTCTCATCAGACAAAAGAATCAGAAATGTGACAAAGTGACAAAGTTATCTTTTTCTTGGGTCAGTGTGCCATTACATAAGTATAAAGTGTTCCAGTTTTCTATTTAAAATACAGATAAACCTTAAAATTGTTTTAATGGAACAACAAAAAAATCTCTTTTACAAAAGATTTTAAGATTGATGTAAACACTTGTTTAAATGGATTTTTAAAATATTAATTAATGAGGGGCATGTAAGTGGTTTTAAAGCAATTAGTAGCCATTGTGCTTTCTTTGAAGATCAACTGCCATTTTATTTCCTGTTCTGCTTATCAGCTTTATTAGCTTCAAGTGTTAAATGTGAAAAATGCTTGTATAATCTTCAAAATGAGCTCAGTTTTTTATACTGCCTTTATTTTTTAGTCTTTCTAATCAAGTAGCGTCCAACATACAATCTGTTTCTATAATAATATTTAGAGTTAATAAATTTGTTTTTCTACGATTAGAATCCTAACTCCCATATCTAATAATGTAGAAGATATATCTGTAATAATAATAACAACAATAATAATAGTCTATTTTGAGGATCTTACAAATATACCAGCTTTAAGTTAAACCTTAGTGGGGGATTTGTGCCTATTCCATGGCCAGAATTTGGTATATTTTGATTTAAAAAATAATGAAAATATTTTCAGTTTATCTTTTCCCCAAAAAGTGTTAGGGGGATTTGTTATACTTTCACTCGTAATTAGTGTGTGAAATTAGATAATTGTAATTAAGCTCATTCTGGGCTTTTCTTCTTTTAATAATTTAAAGTAATTAGGCTAGTGTTGTGCATGTTTAATGTGCCTTTCATATTCCTTCAGCGTGCTACAGTTAAGTCCATTAGAATTCAGCCTGCAGAAATATAATATTAGCATACTGATTTAGGAAGAATATTTTTCAAAATATAGCCTTCAGTATTTCCTCCAGAATCCAGGCTTTTATTTTCAGGAAATTATGGCTGAATTTTCGAATTTGAATTTGCAATATTAAATATATGAGATGCCTTCAGGACTGGGATATTTTACCCAGAATTTGCAACGCTTTCACTTTTCATTTCTCCGCTTTTTTGTCCAGCGCTCGTCCCACATACATACCATCGGTGCCGTGTTGTCTGGACCCTAAAAGGAGCTGGAGCTGCTCCTTGCTGCTCCCTCGAACCTCGGCTTGGTGATGGAGCCGCGTGCCGTTGGCACCGGACGATGCTTGGAGAGGCAGGCATCCCGCTGATGCCTCGCCGAGAGGTTCTGCGGAGATTCCTCTGTATGCTCCTTCCCCTAGATTTCTGCTGTTTACAACGGATTTAGTGGAAGGGGGACACGTGATAAAATCGGTATGCGGTCCTAACGCGCGCTGCGCTTCTAAAGTGGAAGATGGCACGCGTGGAGTACGTGTCATCTGAGTGTGGTCCCTGGGAGCAGACAGGCAAACATTTTATATGGTAATTGCTATTCCCTGACAAGGCTGAGCGGCAGAGCATGAATAAAAAATGGTTTTATAAGAAAGAGTTAACATCTTTGAATATTGAGCTTATGGCCCATTTTTAGCGCAGTAGATGTTGTTTACTGTGAAATGTATCATTTTGCTGCATTTGAAAATAATAACGGGCTGAGTTTTACCTCCAGGGCAGATGCTTCCAGCAAAGTAATCAGCTATTTTAAGGACCAGCTAAGGATTTTGTAATTTAGTGTTTTCATAGGGATTTAGCGTGAAGTTCGGCTGCCTAAATTTAGGCATCTAGCACCACTTGAGACACCATGGGGCTTGTAAGACATCTTCCCGGGGCTGCCGGCTGTGAGCCAGCCCTGATGCTCTGTGGAGCAGGAGCCATCCGTGCAGCCGCGAGCCAGCGGGAAGCGGGAGCTTTCCCTCGCCAGGCTCCAGTGGTTGCAATCATGCAGATGTGTTTGTTCAGCGCCCAAAATTTCAGTCTGCCAAATTTCACATCACTTCATTTATGGCAGTGTGGAATGTGAAAAATATTTTAAGGTGAGTTGCTACATATTGTGAAAAAACACTTGTTCCCTAGATGGAAATTGATCTGGCTAAAGGTGAAGCACGACACAAAGAAGCGATTCTTAAAGTCAAGGAAGAAGCGAGGGTGGAACTAGACATTGAAAGACAAAAACAGCAGGAATTAATCACAAAATATCAGAGAGATCATGAAGAGCTCCAGAAGAAGGTGTGTAACACTTGAGAAAAGTTTTGTGGCAGTAGATAATGTAAATTTCTGAGAAACAGTATGTGAAGGACTAAAAGCTTCTTTATGTGTAGTCCTGTGTCTAGATGATACAATATTTTTTTTCCCCAGTCTTAGCATATGTTTCAATTATTACTATTTTTTTTATGGAATGGGTTAATAAGTAATTATTCCACTTAGTTAAATGGTGTGGAAGTTCTTCCTTTACTCACATTTTCTCTGCCCAGAGTTCATCTATGTCCATTGACTGTAGCTGTTAATTATTTTTAAACTGACATCATCATTTTTTAAAAGCTTTGGACCGTTTCAGACTATGACAGGTTGTCACAAAACCATCTGCACTGTTTTCTCCCTTCCCGAATTAGTTCAGCACGGATGGGCTAAGGTCCAGTGGCCAGTTAACTGCTTTCTTGTCTATATTGGTGGTTGCATCACATGCAGTTGGCTCTTCCCAGCTACCCAGATGTACGGTTTTTGAAGTTTTATATAGAAATTGAAAACTGTACCTATAACCTTAGTTTTCAAAAGGTTTGACGCATTTATTGAGAATTCTGGAAAAAACAAAGAAATTTGATGAAATTACATTGTTGTTTAAAATTTGTTACATTACACAGTGTTTTAAAGAGCTGAAAATAGCAGTTTGGCTTAGTTCACTTTACAGATATTTGACTATGATTTTAAAACCCTGAAGAAATACTAGCTTGCTGTAAAGAAGTTAAGTTTTTCCATTTTTACCTCTATTTCTTTGTTTGATCTTGGACATACTAATTAATCTCTTTGTTCTGAGTTACTTTTGATTAATTTACAGCTCTCTGATATCCTTTGAGGGTATTATGTAAAGTCAGAGCTTTTTTTTTTTTTTGTCTCTGAGGATGTTTGTTTGGTTTTTTTTCCTGAAGTCAACTTTTGTCTGATACTGAGTTCTACCTACCTAACAATATCCACTGAACGTAGACTAATGCAGTTTTTGTCTCCTCTAATGCAGATACCAGGATTAATATCCAGTGCCACCAATAGCTTAAGGAAGGAGACAGAAATTCTTGAAAAGAAGCTACAAGATGCCCAGGTCAAACTTGCAGAGAAAGATGAAGATAAGGAAAAAGAAATTCAGAGCCTTAAAAGACTAATTACTGAACTTGAATTTCAGCTGACAATGGAAAAGAACAATAATGAATCATTTCTGGATAATATGAGGAAAGAAATTAAACACAAGTCAGATGAACTGGAAAAATTAACCCAGGAGAGGACACAGCTGATTCACAATTTGAGTCAAGTTCAAGAGGAGGTAGGAACATGACCGAGGAAATGCCTTGCTATTTTTACTTAGAGACATGTGATTTCTAAAATCATTCAAAGCATCTATATTTCAGACCCTGGTACTGGTGTAAAAGCCATTGAAATGAAAATATTTATAAAACAAGTCCATCATAATTTCATAAATACAATGTATCACAAAATATGTGAAATTTTTAATTCAGCAAGCACTTAAACTAGTCTTTTATTTTTAAAAAATATAAATTTTTCAGGTCCTGCAAGACCTTTGTTTCCTAGTCTCTAGCGTCACATCATGCTACATAAATATGAGTAAACAATAAAGCATTCCTCATGTTTTTAAAGCAGAAGACATGGACATTTCTCATTCTTTGAACCTGACAGCAGCGATCCTCCCAGTAATCTTACTTATTTTGGAAATCATTTGTAAGAATAAAACTTCATGCTATCAATAGGAAAGAGTGGACACAGTCCTGTTCTGAATGGCTTCTGGGGCAGAGATTGCATCTTTTAACGTGGGAGTACGCGTGTGCATCCTGCTGTGCTAATGGGGATGTAGCCCACTTCCCACCAGTAAAGCCACTTTCTGTAACACAGAAACACATAAAAATTAATCAAATGTGAAGAGAAATTTGACTGATGGATATTCTTAGCACAGGCATTTGCTGAATGTTTGGAATATAATGGGAAGGGAAGAGAGAGCGCTGTACTGCTCTATGAGAAATGTGAAAGCAGTGAAGTCAGGGACTGTAGATAAGATTAGGCCGGAATGTCCAAAGTAATTAAGTGGCAGAAAAAATTGGTAAACAGTGGAAATGAAACTCTTCAAAATGAATTAGGGCTTGGGTTGATATTTATTTCTCCCCTGAAAAAGGTTCAGAAACACTGTGTTAGTGAAATTAGAATGATGTTGGCAGTCATTCTGTCCTGTACCTATGGAAAAGGCTCTTGGAAAGACATGTACTCTTCAAGTATTTGTCAGGAACTTCAGCAGGGTAAGGAACACAGTTACCCTCAATCATGAGATTCTGCCAGCTCTGCTTATGTGCTTAGTTTTCCCCAGTCTGAAGCAGAGTTCCTCCTCTAATACAATTATATTAGGAAAAGGAGGGATAAGAGTGGTTGAAAATTGAAACTGGTTTTAATATAAACTTCGCATCAGGATACTTCCTCAGATTTGCCGGTAACACTTTCCAAATAACTTCACGGACTAACAGTGACCGTCTGAGTGGCAGGGAAAGTAACATCTAACTTTCTTTCATTAAGTTGTCTGCAGAGTTAGGTATTCAGAGAGTAAGTTATTTTGAATATTTATGTCTCTCCCGCTTCTACTTCTGCATGTAGTTATGTTCCTTCTCCAACAGCTCCTTCACTTGCAGTTGGCACTGAGGTTAGATAGCCTGAGCAGAACTTCTGTGTTTCTACTCTACATCTGCTACAGGTGCTTTGACCAAAGTAAAATTTTAAAATCTAAAAAAATTGATCAACAAAGGACTTTTCATTTCTCCATCATTTTTGAAGTTTTGACAGGAACACACATGCAAAAATGTAATAGTTTTAGTAAGCTCTTCTTGGCTAAACAGACCTTACCACCTTCCGCTTTAGTGGGAACACGCTTCTGTGCTCTGAATTTACTGACACCGGTATTCGCTCTTCAAAACGTCGAAAAAGTGCTATTGAGATTCTTTCTTACACATTTTCTTCCCTGTTATACACCCACTGTCATAATCACATACGGAATTTCAAATACAAATGTTTATCCTCACTTCAGGGTGATGCGTGACCTGACCCAGCATACAGCTCATACTCTTAGCGCTGGAGAGGTTTACACAGAAAAGTTTGTGTCTGGGCAATGCGGTTGTGCACAACTGAGGGTGGTGTTCTCTGTTTGACTGAATCATCGCTCTCTGTGTTGGAGACTGCCTTGGTGGCTGCTTCCCTTCCATTCTCTCGGACCTCCTGGTGTCAGCAACAATTACTTGCTTAAAAGAACAAAAAAGTGGATATTTGCTGCTTGTTTTAGTACTTTCAGTAGTTCAGACTTCTATGAATCAATTTAGTGATGTTGTCCGTTGTGGTTTTTTTACTTTTTGTTTCAGCTGGGAGCCAGGAAAATTAGCATCACAAATAAGTTCTACATAATATACTGACTTGGGGACTTCTGTAATACGGAAACAGTTTCAGTTGTCTGCTCAAGGCCCAGTACCAGTCACTTACCATTTAAGTATCAGGAATCACAGTGCGAAGGTTGTGAAAACCACTAGGCTGGAAATCATTTATCCCAATTGTTTGGGAAATAGTAATCAACAAGGAATTCCATCACAAAAAAAAAAATCGGTGCACAATTATTTATACTGCAGAGGAGGATGACTTCTTGAACACTTATAACGAAGTGGTGCAGTAATACTCAACCTCTGTCCGTTGCTTTTTCCTTTCCAAGAGCAGCATTCCCAGTTTCCCCCTAGTTAGAGGATGGGCAGGAGATCAGAAGTAACTCCTGATGACTTACCTCATGTTTCCACTGTCTCCTGAGGGAGTGAAGGGTGTGTGAATGGTGATGTATGTCCTTTGAGTGACTTTCAGAGAAACCAAAGCACAGGGAAGTATTGAAGGGTTTGTAGGCATCAGTAACCTCCAGCCACCCTGCCTTAAGCCTGAGGAGTTTAACAGGCGCATTTTTTGACCAACGGCATTTTGTAAAGCCGGTGTTTGTTTCTGTTTGCAGAACACTCTTCTCCAGGAAACAGTGCGCAGAGAGTGTGAGGAACGCTATGAGCTGACTGCAGCTTTGACTCAGGCCAGGGAACAAGTACTGGAACTAAAAAAGCTCAGTGGAAACTTCCCGTTATCGCCGTGTTCCCTGACTCAGGGCAGCCTAACCTCCTCTGCTGCCCTGCTCGCTGATTACGGACAGAAAAGCCGCGCGAGCCCCAGCGCTGGGAAGGAAATCAATCTCTCCAGACAGTTTGGTATTTCAAGAGCTGCTAAGGCACCCACCTCCAGTAAGCGTAACAGCAGCGGCAGTGTGGGCTTGCCGGCTCTAACCCCACCGCATCCTCCAAGAGGAAGGGCGGCTTCGCTGAATGAGCCCAGGAGCAGGATTGCTGCAGTTATAAGACGACAACTGAGTCAGCTCTGACAGCTACGTACGCATGCATGGCACATGAGAAACCATTCCAGTGCATCAAATGACCATTTACTTGTGGACCCCTAGGGTCAAATCTTAGCCAATGCAATTCATGCATTTCTACAACTGTAACTTAATTTTAAGTTTTATATATTTTTGATGCAATAATGTTTCTTTGACCATTGCATATCAATGTAATTAAATGCTATCAACATTTCAAGATTAGAAGAGTAAAAAAGAAAAAATATTGTCTCTCCAAGAGGAGCACGTGTTCAATATCTGTAATTAAAATAGCTGCCAGTTCCAAATACTGTTTTCCCTAACCACTTTATTGGAATTTACCTATTTTGTGTGTTCTCCCATGTAACTTAATTGCTTGTTTCTGGTGTAAAAAAGTGATCTGTTCGGTTAGAATCAGATTTTTGCAATGATTTAATTAACTAGTGTTATATTTGCAAATATTTATGCTTAGGTCAGTGAGACTCGCTAGTTGTGGAGTATATATCACTCAGCATGAAAATGTGGCAAATCTGTGCGCTCAGTAGACTAGCCACTGGCAGGGACATAGCTTCCTCTGTGTGCAAGTCTTCAAGCTGTGCTAATTAACAAGGAGTCGAAGACTTAATATATTTTGTCCAAAAGATGGTTGCCTCTTGAATTTCATCGGAAAAGTGTCTTTTTGTCAAGCATAGTTTTTAGCTTCAAAGTAGACATGCTGGTGTTCTCTGTAAAATTGTTACAGAGGAGGATCAATATTTTTATGTGCTGCTTGATGCATGGAGCTGTGGTTTGTTTTGGGGCATGAAAAGCCCAGACAAGTCTTGGTTGTCATTGTTAGCGTGCAGACGCTGCAGAAGTAGCTGCTCTTCGAACAAGGCAGCTCTGCTGTTGGGGCAGTTTGTCAGTGCAGAGCACTGGCTGGGCTAAGTGAAACAGGAATGGGCAACACAGACGCAGTCTGAGATTTTACTTACTGTGTCACCAGATACTCAAGTGTTTTGGTCAGATAAGCCCAAAGAGGGCCAGTCTGGTGATAGTCACTGGTTCTGGCGACAGCCTGGGGGTCATCAGACCAGGAGAGGTGATGAAGCAGGCCCAGGTCAGCCTGGCGAGTCCCTTGGGCAGAGGTAGACCTACCATACCATGTAGAAGGTAGACCTACCATACCATGTAGAAGGTAGATCTACCATGTAGACCCAGCTCGGGCGAGGGCTGGGGCCAGGGCAGGAGCTTGAAGCTGAGCTCCTGGCCCCATGGGAGCCCCCAGCACGGGGAGGGCTCAGACCTGCTGGTGCCCCTAGTGCCCCAGGAGTCACTCTCTTGGAAGACCACCATGCATCTTCTGAGACCATCAGCTCTGACTTGGATGGAAACTTCATGGGAGGTAAGTTAGAGGGGAGCATTTTGCAGACTTGGAGCGTGCATATGAAGAACTGCACGACTGAAATTGCTTGCTCCTGTTTCAGTTTTGGGACTGGGCTTGCTCTTCACTCAGAGTCATGGAGTTGCTTCTTCACAGGCCACTTTACTTGTAAATGCAAATACATTTATAATTGCACCATGAACCTCAACCTTCTCATTATTTCTGAGTGATGAGGTAGTCCTGTATGTGACAAAATGAGAGCAATGTCTTCAATGCTGGAGAAAATTAGAAAAGCTTTGCTGAGTCCAATGGCATGGCAGGGAATGCATTTTACTCAATAACATCAGTGGAAGAAGTGACCATTGTAGATTTAGCCTCTGGAGCTAGATTTGAAAACACACTTTGTCTTAATCAGCTTCTGTTCCTACTGAAACCAGCGGTAAGCCTTACCTGACTTCAGTGGTAGCAGAGTTTATCCAAAAGCTCAAAAATCCTCTATTCACAAATTCCAAAAGCAACAATAAACCAGAATTACAGCAATTACTCTGGTAGCTGCTGCTGTATAGCGATAGCGTACACACTCTGCAGTCAGCTGGCAGATTGCACAGACCTGAACTTGACGGTCCTCTATGCACTGACCTCAGAGAAACTGTTAACAAAAATCAGCTGGTTGGGGTGCGTTAGAACCAAAGACAAATAAGGTCCCCAGGAGAGTGTAGACTCAGGTTGGTGGAGGTCTGAGCCCGAAAATTCACCTTTCGGCTTTCCTCAGCTTTGGCTCAAGAGGAGGCTCGCTGCCTGCTGGGAATGAGGCCGGCTGTAGCTCCCAACCCAAGCGTGTCCTGATAGGCTCTATCCTCCCTATGCTCAGTGGAGGCTTGCCCAGTTTACTAAAATGGGATTATGCTCAATACCGATTGACTAATTAATTGGCCAATGGCAACAGTGAGTCTTAAGCCCAACCAAGATACCTGGGAAAGTGAGAACTGTTTCCGGGACGTGCTGACTTTGCTCAGTTACTCGTATTTTTCTTAAAGATGTTGAAAATTGGAAATGTCAAAGATGTTAAAGCAATTCTACTGAAATGCAAGCCTCAGGAAATTTGTTTTTCAGCAATTCTGCATGTGCAGAAAGAAGGGATGGGGAGCACTCCCAAAAGGTAGTTTGGAGTATGGCTGGATGGTCCCCTTCTCTAGTCAGTGGTGATGCTGATTTTATTTTTTTGTTTGTTTGTTTAGGAAAAGTCCTGACTTCTTCAAGCTTGAAGATTGTTATTCCACTGTCCGCCCACAGTCTTCCTGTGCTGAAGTAATAGATTTTCACTGAGGCAGTTCTTAAAATGATGGGCTCCAGAGCTGTTATGTAGATTTTTCATAAAATTTTTAGATGAACTTCAGTTGTATTTTACAGTCTTATGAGAATTTTTAAATAATGTGAATGCAGTAAATGCTATTACATAATTTTACACCCTTGTATAGCTATGGAACAGGCGTCACAGTGAACCCTGTGGTAGGTGGTGTTGTAATCTGGAATTTTAATATTGGAATGTTTATATTGAAGCAAAGGTGGGACATTTACCTGTGGACCATTCTGCTGGCTGGAGATCACCACTGCGCAGTAAGGGCTCTGTGCACAAAGCAAAACCAGAGCACGGATGCAGAAAGCAGCCTGTCCCCCTCTAATTCTTGCCTTTGGTAAGAGAGTATCCCTAATTCCGTGTTGTAGCAGCCATTCCTCCCCTTGTGCTGCTGGGGCCATGAAAACAGGTCAGATTTAAAATCTGGGCTCTTGTCCGCTGCTTCGGTGTTTTTGTCCTCTAGCAGCAGGAGTAGTAAAGAGAGACTGCGTGTTCATAAATCGTAAAGAGAGGAATAGCACGTAAAATAACGAGAGCAGTCACAGAAATAACATTTCTAGCATGAGGGAGTGTATAAATCATGGATCCAAACCAGGTCAAGAACAAAAATTTCCCTTATTTCCCCTCCCTCACAGAAACCCAGAACTCCTGCTGCTAAGCAATAAGCAAAATATATAAATGTTAGGAAACCTTTTTTACCAGCTTTTAAAAACAATTAAAAGTAATTTTACATAGTCAAGGAAAGTGTACAGAGTATTTCTCGTAATGGGATGAAAAGCACCAGCAGAAAGTACCGTGGAGAATGTAGACACCTAATTATATCACCACATTTTCAGGAAATAAAACTTCCTGGAGGCAATACGTCTTGTAGAAGCAGTGTCATTTACAAATGGGTTTTTCGTGTGCTGGACCTTGCACTCTAGGACTCATGGCACAAGGGAATACTAAAAAAATCTCCAAGCTTGAAACAAATCTGCCTCTGTGGGATCCTGACCCGCTGGCTGTAGGCAGTAAGCCATCCTTTCACTCCTCAAGGTTACAAGAAAACATCCCGTGGCAACGGGTTGTCTTGTTCTGTCCTAATGCAAAGCCTTCTGTTTCTTCCGCGACAGAGCTGCTATTGTTGCCTGTTCACGAATAGTAGCTAGTACAGTCCTAGATCTTTCCGTAGAGTATTAATCCCGCTGCCAGTTTGCAAACCAGGATATCCGATGCACCAACTTGCTGTGTTACTACCACATGTATCCACGTATTTTTATCCAGTAGCCTTCACTTCCAGAGAAGCTTCAAATACTTAGTGTCTTACTATTAGTTGGAGAGAGTCTACGTACGACGGTTGAGCGCGGTGTTATTGGGAGGAGGCAGAAGTGCCTGGCTTTGAGCTGCGAGGGAACTGCCGTCACGCTCGTGGGGTTGTGGATGGGAAAAGGAGACAGTGGCCGGATCGGTCCCCTGCCAGGTCCTGGCGATGCTGAGCTGGACGTAGCGGGCGCTGCCGGTGCTTGCCCTCTCCAGCCTGCCCACCCCGCCAAGCCCGATTCCTCTGGGCGTGAAAATAAGAGCCAGTAACATAGGTCTGATACTTTAGAGAGGGCTTCGTGTGAGCATCAAACATCGTTTGTGGTTTGGCCAGCTGTCTCTTTTCGAGTGCAAAACCGTCGTTATTGATGGGGAAAGTGCGTATATATCTGCGTGTGGTGGAAGGGGAGGTACAGGACACTATCCAAAGCCAAGGTGGGACGGGGCAAGTGGAGCCATGGCAGCGTTTCTGGCACACAAAGCAGCAGCAGAGTCCTTCTGGGATGCCTCAAACTCCTGGATGTACTTTCTGAACGCTCCTTTGAGGCTGCTGTCCCAGATAGCCAGTCTGTGTTCACCGGGGAGAGCTCCCCAGCCTCAGGCCAGGCCTTTGCTCTGCCCATGTCCCTGCAGAAGGTGGAAATGAGAGAAGCAGAAGATGGAGCTGCTTCTCACGGGCCTTACCCAAGCAGCGTGCATCCTCAGTGATGCTTGGCTGCCATAGCAGGAGCGAGCAATTTTTAGAGAACCGCAGTAATGGTTTGTTGCAAAAGGCTTGCATCCCAGGAGGTAAAACCAGATGAACATGGCCAACGTAGTCCAGAGGGGGAAAGTTTGATCAGGGAACGTCCTGCAGGACAGGAGCGCTGCTGGGGACGGTCCTCGGCGCAAGCTGTGCCCAGAGCCGTGCCTTGGCTGCATCTCAGAAGGAACTTGCTGGTTCGCTCTGAAAGAGGAGCAGGAACTAACAGGGAAGACTCAAAAAGTACCCAC